TCTAAGAAAAGTACTTTTTGATTTTCATCTTTAGTGCACGTTACTTGAGTTAAATCTTTACTTTTATTCTCTCTTTGTTTGGCTAGTTTATACTATATTTTTTACCATCCTTAGTATCTAATCTATTATAAAGATCATTAAAAGCAAAAATTTTAGCATCACAGATTGTTCTTTTAGATTTCCTACGGGCCGTTTAATATTTTTTCCAGTTATCTAAGCTTTTACATTTAAACCAATTTTTATAACATAAATTCTTATATTTTATCTTTTCTTGCACATTATTATTCCACTACCAACTATTTTTATTTATAAAAACTTTTTTTTTTGATTCTCAAAGCAAATCTTTTGCTACTTGGTGCTAATTGTTTAATAGTATTTGTTACTTTATTTCACATAACATTTGCTTCTTCACGAACATCCTAAATTTTGAAATCTTGAATTTTACTCATAAAAATAATTTTATGTGTCTTATATGTTCCCACTTCTAATTTTAGGATGATGAGTCCTAGTATCCTTTACTTTACAACTCTTCATTTTAAAATCTAGATCTAATAGTCGGCGTTGGGTACTTAAATCCTCACTTAGAATGACCTTACAATCTTTGCAATCTCGACGATATCTTTTTCTCATAAGAAAATAATCAATTTGTGTTTTATTAGATTCATTCTTATAACTAATAAGATGCTCATCTTTTTTCTTGAATAAAGTATTAGTAATAATAAAATCATATGCTAAAGCAAAATCTACTTCTTTATTAGTTACTCTAAAACTGTAGTCACCATGAGCATATCTGAAGTCTTCTACCACTGTACCCACATATCCATTTAAATCTCCTCCAATAAAAATTCTTTCTTCAAGAGGGATCTTCTAAGTCATTCCAAAATTTATCTTTAGACCATGTATCTAAACCTGTTTGAGCAGCATAAGCACTTATAATATTAAAAGTCTTAGTATCAATGATAATCTTAAGGGCTATAATTCTATCACCAACTCTATTAATTTTTACAACATTATCTCTCAAAATCTTATCAATAATTACACCTACACCATTTTTAGTGCGACTCTTACTAGAATACCAAAGTTTAAAACCTAAATTATCAATTTCCTTAGCCTTTTCTCCAACCCATTTAGTTTCTTGAATACATAAAATATTAATTTTTCTATAAATCATATTATCAACTAATTCCATTAATCCATTGAGAGTTTTACCATTGAGAGTACCTATATTCCAAGATCCTATCCTAATATTAGTTTCATGAGTTTCATTGACTAAATTCTTTACCCGCATTCATCCGGAATGTGAGAACCCTTATTTTTTGACACTATACCCAGGCGCCAGTGTAGTGACCCTTGCAAACTTTTCACTGTATTCAGACTATACAGCGCGTCGCTTTCAAGGGACGCTCTAGCACTTACACAATGATAAAAAAAATTCATGTCATGATTTTTTTTCAACAAGTTTTACGCTGGTTGTTGACTACCTATTGCAACCCTCCACTTTTCACATCCGGGCTTGAGACCGGCAATGGATGAGGTCATATTCAATATCAAAGCTCTTGCATTCCTTTTATTTTGCACTCCCAGAAACTTTTAACTGAACAACCCTTATATGGATCATGCGGGAAGAGCTTGATAAAAAATTATTGGATGAGGTCATATTCAATAGGAATGAACAGGCTAAAAGGTTGGCAAATAGGAGAATCATGTGCGAGCTATTGTGACTATTGCTTATTTTTTCTAGGTTTCTTTGGTTTAGACAATAAATGCAGTTGGCTACACATACTCCATGAATATATGACATTCATGACCCTTCATTTTCTTAAAAAAATTCGTACTTATTATCTATATATCTACTTAAACTTGATGCATATTCATCTGGCATATTTAGAGGTGGAACCGCTCACATACTGGTCTTTTCTAAGCCAATGCAAAATAATATTTGATTTTTGGTTTTAAGATATTTTCATTGCCTTGATTCTTGGAGCTCCAAGTCCTATCATCTACTCCTTCAGATTCATACTTTCTCATGCTCATTACAATGTTGAATATCTATCAAACAATTTTTTCCTAATATGCATTATATTTTAGTTATTTTGGATTAAATGTATGGTCATCATGTATAGGTTGTAGTGAATGTTACTTAAATTCTTAGAGGAGGCAATGGGTTATTGGAAATTTACATAAATTTCTTAAAGGCGGCACTGGCTCATTGAAAATATTGAAGTTCTAATAGTGAATTTTAGAAAGAAGTTTTTTGGAATCCTTGGTGAACAATAGTTAAAATTGACCCCTAGTATTACACACTAATATGGTGCACGTGAAAAGATCAGATTCAGGAAGGTAGAGGCAAAAGGGTGAGCAAAGATGAGAATCATTTGTAGGCTGCTATTTGTTCGCATTGGAACTTGATTGCAGTGGAAGTGGGAATTTGTGGGTTGGAGATGAGCTTCTTGGTGGAGGGGAGAGCTATAGGGCTATGTTTGCGAAGCATGAAGTTGGGCAATAAGTCGAGAGACGTAGTTGCCTCATAGGCGACGAAGGATCATCTAGTGCGAGGTAGCTCTCGTTTGGCCTCAAATGAGTGTAAGCAAGGTCGAGAGGGGGGAGGTGCTAGCTGAGAGAGTCTTATGTGCGGACATTGAAAGATTTGAAATCTGCTTGTAGTGAACATGGCACGGGATTGTGTCTGGGCTTTGCTACCAGACTTGATGTGGAAAGGGAGAGTAATTAAGGCACTAATGAGAACTAACAGAGAGGAGAGACGGGGAGAGAGAGAGAGAGAGTGAGAGAGAGGGGAGATGAGGATGAGGTTTCTGAAAGGGAGTGAAACTCAATGACTATTAGAGAGAATTTTCATTTTTTATGTATTCACATAATAATAAATTTTGTTCACATCAATATGGAATTTAAGGTATTACATGACAATAAAAGAAATATAGAAGATAATCCTAAATACAATAAGATGCAACAACAACAACAACAAACCTTTATCCATGAATCCTTTTTCTCCATTGCGTCCCGTTGAGTGTCATATTTTCATTTAATTTGCTGAATACAATAAGAAGGAAAAAAATAAATTTTTATTTATTTCAAATGGCATGATAATCTAGACTACCGTGAAGTATCCAATCCACATATTGATTTGAAATTTTAAGTATTACGAAAAAAAGGGGATGAAATTCTCCTAAATAAAATTAAAAAAAGAAAAAAAATTAATTATTCATTTATTTTAAATCGCTATATAAATCTCTAAATCCGAATCTCTAAAAAAAGTAGAAATTAACAAATTAATTGACATTTTTTGGACATTTTTAAGTTTTGGATGGAATGGTTGTCATCGTGCATTTGGTACTTGCTTTAGGTATCTGACACTGCTCAACAATTGAGGCATAATTGTTTATTAACATGTGGTTATAATTTATCATTATCAACTCATTTTGTAGGGATACATGGGTTTATCAATTATCAACTTTAGCAATTCATTTTGTTTATGCCAATTTTTAATATTAGCAGGGCAATTTTCTCACTGGTTATTATACTTATTTTTCTCAAACAAATCATTTAGAGGCTGTTTAGTATCACTTTTGTTTTTTGTTTGCTATATTTTATTTTATTTTGTCTTGTTTATGTTTTGATTTTAAACAAAAAATGTTTGGTACGTTTGATTAAGTTGTTATTTTGAAAACATTTAGAACACCTAAAATTTGTTTTGATGATTTCAAAAATATTTTTATTTATTTTTAGAAACTATATATATATATATATATAAACACATATTAAACAAATATGTTTTTTAAAAAAAAGAAAAAAAAAACAAAACCAAAAGCGAAATTGATCGCAGACAAGCCCTTAACAAATGGATGTAGTTTATAATGTTTGCATTTCACTGTTTTGCTCTATTACCAAGTTATTGATTTGGGTGGATCTACAACACATGTTAGATGATCGCAAAGACTGCTCTCACTCAATGATGAATTAGTCAGCCTAAAAGATTTATGGGTGGCAAGCACTTTTCAACCTAAACACAGATTTGATGCATCAATTGCTGATAGGAAGTATTTTAAACGGAGAAAATTAGTCCAAATAGCACCCAAGTTTGGTCCCACAAAAACAAATTTATGACAAATGTATTATTCAAATCTTTTGCCTACATCTTGGTGATGTTAATCCATTCTTAAAAATTAAGAGGACGGCCCTAAAACTAAATGAAATTTAGTAGTTTTTTGAATGGAAAATTGTTATTCTTGGATTATGGATGCTAATTCCACAATTAATGGCTAAAATTTTGAACCAGATACCTGATTTAGGAGATAACTGTTTTTTTCAAGCGTTATTATCTATTTTGATAATGTTTGATTTGAATCCTTATTCTTAATTATTTAAGGAGTGATTTAGGAATCTATTTTGCGGATGATTAGTTTGGATTGAATAAGGTTGTGAATTCTATTTTCTTTTAAAATTGGCCCTCCCTATGTGTCCCGCACCAACCCACCCCCGCTCCCTTGATGTTTCCCACTAACCGTAAGCAGTTCGCCTTCTAGAGTTGCATTCGCAAACTTTCAGTAATTCAAGTAAGTTTTGAGCTGATTCGAGTAGACCTATTAATCTTGTATTTGTTTAGATTATCATCTATATAAATTGTTCAAATTTAAATTATAATGTATATTATCAAAATTTTTATGTTTAAATAGATTAGATATCTCTATGCTTAAATGGTTCACATGTGTGTTTTTTAAAATAATAAATCAAAATACTATCTGGTTTGCACTTTTTTTCAAACTAGTTTATTATGCATGTATACAATATGTTATTCTTATTAATATGGTTGGCTCAAATACATTTTCCATAATAGTAACTAGACAGTCAGTCTCACTCGGTTTGGAATACTGTTTTTACATGTTTTATTTGGAACTTGTCCCCCAACTTTTCATCCAACCAAATTTAATAGTTTTTTTCCTTTTTTTTTTTTTGGCTCTTTTGGCTCTTTCACAGCTTTGTAGACCCTTCGTAATATATCAGCATCAATTTACAGCGTTGAGCTTTGTAAAAGAATGCGTGAATTTCTTATTGCTTTTCCACCCGCTGGTCCTTCACCACCTGTGACAGATCTTGTAATTGCTACAGCAGATTTTCAGAAGGATCTCGGTAACTGGAATATGGGGTAATATTGCTAAAATGCTTTTTACTGCATGGTCTTTTACACAATTGCTTTGTTTTCCCCCTTTTATGTGTGGCCTTCAAATTCTTTTTTTTTTAAATTTATGCAGTCATGTTAAGGATGGTGTTGATGCAAAAGAACTCTTTCACCTCTACATTTTATTCTGGATTCAAGATAAACGCCTACAATTGCTTGATTCTTGCAAGCTAGACAAAGTATTTTTCTATTCACAAGTTATTTTTTTTGTTTTTTTTTTCAGTTATATAGTTTTTGATGATGCTCGTATACTTTCGTGTTTTGAGACTTTCAGAATCCTATGGAGGCGGTTTATTACTGGTTTTTGTGTTTTAGAAGAATCTCAAACCTCCCTCTCTTGTTTTTTTTATTAAATTCTTAAGTTTAACTAGCTATTGATAATATAATTTTGAATGATGATTATATTGTCTAGCTGGTTGTTTCTATCCCATGCTTACCCATTTCCTTCTTCAAACAAATATAACAACACAAGCAGCAGGTGGACAACTTATTTCCTGCATATTTCTTGCAAGCTAGCTGTTCCTTCAGTTTTTACCATGCAGTTCAGAAATTATGGTGAAATATAAACTGTTAGTTGTACTTCCTTTTATTTATCTTCAATGCATGCATATTGTTAGTGCTGTCCAATTGTTCATGCATGTTTTATATCTTCTTCTAAGAAATGTAATTTTCATTCGGTGTCACTTTTTAAATGATAAATTTTGAAGTGCCTGATAATATACAAAGTTTGCTCTTGTGCCGCTGAATGTAATTTGCAAGAGAGGTGCTCCACTACAAAACAAGCTGTAGCCATTTCAGAGTGTTTTTCCTATGTCTTCTAATTGCAAGAGAGGTGCTCACATTTGATAAAAGACAAAAGAGTCAAAATAATCCCTGACTCTTTATAGGGGGGTCGTTTTAGTCTTGAAAGTTATAATAGAAGTGTCAAGCTAATCGCCATACTCTTGTAATGCGGGGCGGCATCAATTTAAAGAGTTTGGGGATTAATTTGAGACTTTTATAGACCCTAGGATTAAAATAATCCTATGTAAACACTCAGGGGACTATTTTGAAACTTAATAATGTGAGCTAAAATAGCATAAAGCTTGAAAGAGTGCTTGTGGTTGAATATTGAAGGTGTTGTCAGAATGAAGTAGCAACAATGAATTCTTGTTTTAAGGCATGCTTATAATTCAAACTACGAGCATCACATTTATAATACGCATTTTTCATTTTGCAAATGTTTCTGAACATTAGTTTGTAGGTTTTCTTCTAGCCCATTCAAAGCTTGGATCAACAGTACCGCCCATAACCATAGTTCATGTTATGGGTGAGGAGTAGAGGTGTGCATTGTTTAGTTCGGTTCAAAATTGATATAAAACCAAACCAAACTATCATATGACAAACCAAATCTAACTGATTGAAAAGGTTTATATGATTTTTTTTTGTTTATAAACTTAAATATTTAGGAATCATTTTTTTTTCAATTTCAATTCAGTTTTATTTGGTTTATTTTAGTTTTAAATAGTTTAGATTTGTTTGATTTGATTTGATAGTTTTTTTTGCTAATTTAATGGATCATTAAAGCATCTATAAAGCTTACACAAAAGTTGGATTATTTGTTCATGTAAGTTAATTTGATGGGTACTATATAATTGAAATTAAGTATAAGATTTAGAATTATATATTATATTTAATTGGCTTTGCTTTCGTTTATTTTGATCTTAGAAAGCCCAAAATATAAGCAAATACCAAAGTGTCGAAGTTTTAAATTCAAGACAAATCGAGTCTAAACCAAACCTGATCCAACTATTTTACCAATTTGATTTACATTTTTGGTTAGCCAATTTTTAAGGATGGATACTAGATAATAGATGAATTATTATTCCATCTTAAGAAGCTAATACCACGTGGGATAAAGTAATGAGTGCTATTAAGTAAACTATAAAAGATGTGTTTGAGGAATCAAAAGGAAAAAAAACTAATGAAAAAATAGTTATTGATGGAATAATAATGTACAAGAAAAAATAAAAGATAAGAAGTTATGCTATAAAAAATTGGTTTATATATAAAAGTTTGGTGAATTGGTAAAATTATAAGATGACACTTAGGCAGTTTAAGAGATTAATTTTTTATGCTAAAAATTTAATTTTAATGATATTTATAAAAGATTAGATACTAAAGAATAAATATATATGTATAAATTCGTCAAGCAAAGAGATAAGAAAATTAAAGATTCACTTCAAGTTAAATGTATTAAAGATGAAAATGAAATAGTACTTTTCTTAGATGAGAATATTCAACATAGGCAGGTGAGATATTTTGATAAATTTTTTAAATGAAGATTATGAAAATACAATGTATTTTAAGTGTTTTTTGTTACATGGTATCAGAGATTCGACAAATTGTTTGTCTTTGCCTTCTGCGTTCTACGACATCTTCGTCTCCTTTGGCTTCGTCGATGACTTCATTTGCTTCCTGCGAAGTGATTGTCAGTGTCCCACGATGTCATCATCGACATCTTCGACTACTTCCTATGACAACATTGTCTTCTTCTTGCAAGTAGGCAAACAATTTCGACTGCTTCACATGAACGCATGGTTTGCTTCCTGTGCCTCTTCCTCCGCTTTGAACGATGCCATCTGCATCAACTTGGAATTTGGTTTCGTCTGTGTTTACAAGATTAGGACTTCGATAAAGCCGACTTCTTCTACTCAGTCAGCTTCATTAGTTGTTGTGCTATGCTCGTTTGCTTTGTTCTAATTGGTCTGTGTCTATTTCCTCGGTTTATCTATTTCGGTATTTGGTTGCAATGAATAATTGGCCCTTGCACTAGCTCGATGTGAAAAATGCTTTTCTGCATGGTGATCTTTTGGAAGAGATCCCCTAGGTTTGTGGCTCAGGGGGACTACGGGAAAGTATGTCTTCCTTAGAAGTCTTTATATGGATTAAGACAAAATCCTCGAGTATTGTTTGGAAAATTTAGCCAAACATTAGAAGGGTTGGGGATGCAGAAAAGTAGAAGCGATCACATTGTATTCTATAAACAATCCTTTTTAGGAATCATTTTATTAGTGATTATGCTGATGACATTATTATTATTGGAAGTGATGTGCATGAAATCTTATCATGGATTAAGACAAAATCCTCGAGTATTATTTGGAAAATTTAGCCAAACCTTAGAAGGGTTGGGTATGCAGAAAAGTAGAAGCAATCAAACTGTGTTCTATAGACAATCCTTTTTAGGAATCATTCTATTAGTGGTTATGCTGATGACATTATTATTATTGGAAGTGATGTGCATGAAATCTTATCATGGATTAAGACAAAATGAAATCATTTCTTCAAAATCAAATCAGCCCAACACTAAAGATGTGGGTTTCTTAAAGTGCTTATTGGGGATTGTGATATCAATGACCAAGAAGGGTATCTTTCTATCTTAACGAAAGTATAAGTTGGATTTGTTAGCAAAAACTGGAAAATTAGGAGTCAAACTATGCAATACTTTGATGCTCTCTAATTTTGTTAGCAACAACCTGCCAAGCATGAAGAACTTTTTAATGATCTTGAACGATATAACAAGTTACTGGGAAAATTAAACTACGTTACATAACTCTTCTTGAAATTGCATATTCAGTTAGCACTGTAAGTTAGTTTATGTTTCCTCTCACAGTCTATCATTGGGCTGCTTTGGAACAAATATTATGTTACCTCATGGGATCTTCTGGACAAAGTATTTTATATCAGAATTATGGGCATAGAAATATTGAAGGTTTCTCTGATGCAGACTGGGCAAGTTTCAAGATTGATCGAAAATCCATTACTGGATATTGCATCTTTGTTTGTGGTAATTTTGTCTCATGGAAGAGTAAGAAATAGAATCTAGTTGTTACGTGTGTGGAGACAAAGTAGGGGAGCCGGTGCGTAGGTGTCTAATAATATTTTTCTGATGAAGAAATTATTCAACATGAAGATGGTGGGAGATAGTTCAGTGACAAAACATTTGAATAACTTTAACACCTTGACGAGCCTGTTTTATTTTGTGGGGATCAAGTTTGATGATGAGGTCAGAACATTAGTGATACTATCTTCATTATCAGACTGTTTGGATAGTTTGGTAACTGTAGTGAATAGTTCTTGAGGGACTTCGAAGTTGAACTTCGATGATATCGTGGGTTTGATGCTGAAAGAAGAAGTTCGCAGAAAGCTGTGAATGGTGAATATTCAGGTTTTGTTTTGAATGCTGATAAGAGGGGAAGAAATTTGGGCTGGAACATAGGCAAAGGTAGATCAAAGTCCAACAAAGGAAAACTCAAGTCAAACAGAGAAGAATGCAGAAATTACGGTAAGATGGGGCATTTCAAGAAAGGCTGCAAAACTCCAAGTAAGCTGGTGGTGGAGGACATGAAAGTAGTTTCTTTACTAATGTCTCAACTTGTGAAATCCAAAACGACTCTCTGATGTTGTCCCTAGTCAATACTCAATCCTGGATTGTGGATTCAGATCCCTCTTTTCATGCTTTCCTCAATAAAGTGGTATTTAAAAGCTACACTCAGAGTAATCTAGTGAAGGTCTTTAGGAGATTTAAGGCATGCAATATAGTTGGAAAGGGTGTGTTGATATCAATGTGCCTTTTCTCATGCCCCACTAAAAAATATTTAAAAACTACACTCAGAGTGATCTAGGGAAGGTTTATTTGAGAGATAATAAGGCCTACAATATAGTTGGAAATGATGATGTTGATATTAACATGTTGAATGGAATACTTTATAAGCTTACAAAAGTTAGACATGCTCCAAGTTCCTAAGTTTAAAGAGAAATTTTATCTCTATAAGCCAGCTGTCAAAGTCAGGACCCCAATAAAAAAGTATTTAAAAACTACACTCAGAGTGATCTAGGGAAGATTTATTTGGAAGATAATAAGGCCTACAATATAGTTGGAAATGATGATGTTGATATCAACATGCCGAATGGAGCAATTTAGAAACTTACAGAAGTTAGACATGTTCCAAGTTCCTAAGTTTAAAGAGAAATCTTATCTCTGTGAGCCAGCTGTCAAACTCAGGACTCGTGACTAATTTAATTGGTGATTCGTGGAAGGTGTCTAGGGGGCATTAGTGATGGCACGGGGCAACGTTGAATGCACAATTTATTTGATCAATGCAATGAATAATTTAATTGATGTGGTTGGAACCAAGAT